TAGAAATTAAATCACTATGAGATTATGAAAATATTATAATTTTTTTAACGGATCATTAAGTTTTAGCATGAAAAAGCGTAAAAGAGAATAGAAAATAGACGATGTGTTCAAAACGTCAGTAATTCTTTAATAAAAGAAATGTTCATGGCCTGGATCCGGATCCATTTTTTCAAAGCGGATCCAGGATTCGGATCCGTATCAAAATAAAATAAATCCTATGCAATGCTTCCAATGGATATCATTAATTTTCGAAGCTATGAGGAAAAAAAACAAATTCGGTCTTTGTTTATCTCATAAAAATGAAAAGTAGACAGGCGTGTACTGTATATTGATCAGAATTACCCCCCCCTTGAAGCAAAAAATGATTTGCATGATTTTGGGAAAAATGAGACATCAAAAGGCTAGTTTTTTAATTCTTTTTTTTAAACACAAAATTCATTTATTTTCCCAATTCCATGACTTTATTACCACCTAGTTTCAAGCATATTCAATACCCCCCCCCCACATGGAGGATCTCAATAGTCACAGGGGGGGGGGGAGTTTTCTGTAAATTTCCCTGATACTAGAAAGCTCCCCTTCATACTCCTCACAAGTATCTACTGCTGTTTCTTCGCCTAAATCAAAAAATCATTAATCAATGTTTTTTTTCTCTTAAATTCGAGATAAAGTGGATATTTTGTAATTTTGATATTTAGTGCATTTCCAAGTGTACTAATGATGTATACAATTTAATGTGTAAAATGTAAATTACATTCTTCTAAAATGTACTAATTCATAAAAATTACTTACAAAAGAGTGCAACAACATACTGTTCTTCTTTGATCAGTTTATCTAGCTCATCATCCTAAATACAGTGACTTCCAGATATATGAATACATAGCAAGAGTTTTGTATAATGTATTATTATAAAGAAACTTCTTTTTATTTTTAATTCAAGGTATATTAATAGCCCTGAAATATGAATGCAATTGATATATTAATATTAAACTCATTTTTCCGCAGCATTTGATCTTAAATATGTAACACGACATTATAAAAAACTCTTGCTATGTATTCATATATCTGGGATTCCCTGTAGTTGAATCGTCTATCGTGAATATTGATGCGGCTTTAAAGTCTTATTTAGGGTGACCCACGAAGAATGACCATTAAGAGACGAATTAAAGATAGTCTTCCATTATAATTACAATAAGTTTAGCTAATTCAGGTAGTTCAGGTTGTTTAGGTAGTTTAGGTAGTTCAGGTAGTTTAGGTAGTTCAGGTAGTTAAGGTTGTTTAGGTAGTTCAGGTTGTTTAGGTAGTTCGGGTTGTTAAGTTAGTTCAGGTAGTTTAAGTAGTTCTGGTAGTACAGATATTTTATAGAATAGTTCAGGTAGTTAAGGTTGTTTGAGTAGTTCAGGTTGTTTAGGTAGTTCGGGTTGTTAAGTTAGTTCAGGTAGTTTATGTAGTTCTGGCAGTACAGATATTTTATAGTATAGTTCGGTCAGGTAGTTCAGGTAGTGTAGGTAGTTCAAGAAGTTCAGTCGGCTTTAAAACGTCAACCTACTTATCAAATACGATTCTTACACAATGTCAACCTTTTTTGTGCTTTCAAATATACCAGACATATTTCAATTAGATCCAGTTTATGAAATAAAATTAAAATTGGGTAATTTCCTAGAGAACAATTTTTGGACTCCCCCCCCCTTACTATCAATTTTGTACATGAATTTCGTATGTAACAAATGGATAAATTGATCATGTGGCCGCAGCGCCCTGCAACCCTGGCTTGTCTATAGCCGCAGCGCTCGGCCCAGAAATTGTGTTAACCTAACCTAATAATAACATAATAAAATAAATTATGATAATTTTGTACATGACCACTTATTTTTCAGCAAAATTATCATAATTTATTTTTTATTATGTTATTATTAGGTTAGGTTAAATAAATTAATATAGGATCATCCTGCCTAAAAAAGACTCAACAATTAATGATAACCTTACATCGACTTTCTGTAGAGAATTCTCCTCCCCCCTGCCTACCAGGCAAATAGACAAAAATAGTAACAACCGAAGCATCTGAAATTCATTTTTTTACTTTATGGTCATTATTTCACACACATTTAGTTAAAAATTAGTAACATGTAATGCGGAGGAAAAATTAAATATCCATGTAACATGACATAATAACACAAAATCACAATTTTCATATATCACCAAAGGGAAAAAAGGGTAAACCATGTCACGAGGGCTATTAATAATTATCTATGTGGTCCAATAGATGGCTTAAATGATAACTTCGTGCAGTGACGGTATAAACACGTCATCCCTGAAGAAGAGTGTGTATCAGGTAGACTAGAGTACAAACAGTACACTTGAACTCTCTGTATACAATAACACCGGTGTCCTGCATGGAGCTGACTCTTGCATGATGCGGACTCGACCCCTAAAGTTTAAACCATTTTAACACAATGTTAGACATAAAAAGCAATGTTAAAACATTAAATATTTTTAGTTGATATTTATTGAATACACATTTGGTGCTTAAATGTATTTAAAAGAGGGTAAAGGTAAACTTACAGAAATGATCGTTTTGTTCGACGAAAACGCATTATTTATATTAAGTTAATTTACCTGCAAAATATTGCATTAAACAATGAGAAAAGGCAATTTCAGCGATGCCTAAACTAAAGAAAATGTAATTATCTTTCGATCTATATGTATTTCAAATTGTAGCGCTTGTAAATTAAGGCATTAGTTTTAAAATCATTTTTGTAAATAAATAA